ATATATATATATATACAACTATATATATATATATATATATATATTATATATATATATATATATATATATTATATATATATATATATATATATTATATATATATATAGTGAGTCTACTTGAATCCACCACAAGTTCGTGAGTATATAAAGGGTGAGAATTTCTGACCTGCTCCCCATGTACGGTTGGCCAGTTGGAATACATCAAGTGCACCATCTCTCACCACGAACATCTAAGTCGTTCTAGGCTAGACGCGTTTCGTTCCTTGTGGCACTCATCGGTGGCTCGAGTTTAAACAGCAACTGATTGCAATTTCTATGTCAGTTGACAATATTGCAAACTAGGGTGTTTTGAAGTAGTTCACAGAAACACAAAAACATTAATAACAACAACCACAACAGCAACAACTACTACAGCCAGGACTACAACAGCAGCAACATCTGAAGCAACAACTACAGCAACAACAACAATGATATAAAAAAGGTTGCATCAAACCCAAATCTTCTTGTTGTATGGATTCCTCCATATCTTCAATCTTTAGCGGGTTTCAATATAAAGCTTACTGCAAACACAACAATCAACCCAACAACAACAACTTCAAGAACATTGGCAACATCAGCAACAACATCAATAACAACAACAACAACAACAACAACAACATTAGCAACAACAACATTAATAACAGCATCAACAACAATAACACTGGCAGCAGCGACAACAACACATTTGACATCAAAAACATACAGACCAATAGCAACACCAACGTTAACAACAGTATCAGAAATAATACAAATAACAACAACAACAAATACGACATTAAAAACATCAACTACATTAACTACGACACCGACAACATCAGCAACAATCTAAATGTAGGGAAGCACAAGTTAAAGTTTAAACAAAGCTCGCAAGAAAGATACACTCACAATGATGCAAACGATGATAGATTCTATAATAAGTGTGACAGCAACGATGGTGTCCGTGACATTAAAGTCACCGATAATAACATCAACACGAATTTGAAAACAAAAATTGAGGACAACAACAGCAACAGAAATTGTAAAAACATTATCAACCACTGCCTTAGAGTAAAAGTCAAATACAACAACATCAGCAGCAACATCAGCAATAACAACAACAACAACAACATGGATAACATTAAAAACATAATTACGTCATCAAAACAAAGATTTATGGTTAAAATTTGTGTTGTGAAACTAATTTAATTATAAATTCACGGTATATAAGAAAGCGCGCAAATGCTAAGCAATCAGTCAGTCAATGACTTAACCGATAATCAATAAATAAATTGATAAATCACATAACTGATCAATCAATTTATCAATCAATTAAACAACGAATGAATCAACAACCACTCAATCAATTAATCAATCAAACAATAAATGAATCAATCAAATAATCAAACAATAAATGAATCAACCAATCAATCAGTCAGTCAAACAATGAATGAATTAACCAATCAATCAATCAACCAATCAACCAATCAAACAATCAAGCAAGCAATCAAACAATCAATAACTGACAGGACTACCTGAGAATAAAAAAGAACAGAGAGGCAAGACTAAGTTAGAAAGTTAAATTCAATTTTTTTCCATCCACATTCTACAAAATAATTTTCTGAATGATTTAAAAAAACTAACCACAATATTAACAAAATCACTTATAAAAAGTGTAAAATACAAGGTAGCTCAGATAGCAAAAGCACCACTCTTTGCGTCAATGTCGCTTTGACTGAGTTCGAATGCTGTCTATGCAAGCGTTTTTTCATGTGTTATATATAGTAAACATGTTATAATGTAATTATGATATGATATAATATACTAAAAATGTTATAATGCAACCATTTTGAATGAATAAATTAATCTGATTGCGTGTTTGAAAGTGAAGTGGAAGAAGCGCAAAAAACGCCAGGACATCAGCCTGCTTGTCAACGACATTCGCCACAAATATTTTCCAGAAGTTTTGATAGACAATGAGCAACAACAACAACTGCAACATCAACCGCAACCGCAACCGCAACAACTACTAACGTCACGGCAACTACTGCTTTCGCCACAACAAAAACTACTGCAGCCACAAAAACGACTACCACCACTACCACAACATCATCAACAACAGCAACCAAAACAACAAAATCAGCAATTTTCACAGCATAATCAACAACAACAACTACTACTACTACAACACCAGCTACAACAAAATCAGTCAGAAAAACTTAATCAACAAAAAATTTTAAATCAACAGATGCAGCAACAACACCACAACCAACAGCACCACAACCAACAACAGCAACAACATCATCAACAACAACAACGCGTTCAAAGATACAAGAAACAACTGATAAAATCACGTCATAATCATCAAATGCTTCATCATCATCATCCTCATTCTTATCATCATCATACTCCTTCCAATCATAATTATCATCATTATCACCATTCACAATTACAACTAATACTACCCAAACAACATAAACAACAACAACAACACGAACAACAACACGAACAACAACACGAACAACAATATGATTACACGGTCGATTTAACTGATAATGAAATTGATAATCCAGACGATATCGAAGATGACGATGATACTACCGGTGATAATGATAAGACTGAAGAGAATGATAATGATGACGATGACGACGACGATGATGAAACAATTGACGTTGTAGAATTGTAATTTGGATTGAAAATGAAGTAGACTCTCATCACATTCATCCTCATCAATTATATTGTTACATCCATATTCCGTCAAAATAAACATCATCACAAACAAAAATGAACAAAAATCATTAACATTAATAATAACAACAATAACAACAATATTAACACCAATGTAATCATCAACGACAACAACAACAAATTTGCCGACGACAACAGCAACTTCATCAAGAAAAACATCAACAACAACATCAACAACAGCAACATCCACAATAACAATCAACTACAACAACAATAACATCAACTACAACATCAACGACAACATCAACAGCAACAAAATTGTGGACATCTTTCACATTTTGAGCTTTTCAAAAATAAAATAAACTTATAAAAAAGAATGATGTAAAACATAACTGCTCCTGATAAAAATGTTTGTGTTGAAAATAATAATAATAGGATAATTAGGATAATTAATTATTTATTTATAAACATATCAAAAAACACACAAACACACATACAGAAACAAACACACACAAACAGACACTCCTATACTTCTCATAGTGCATCCCTTCCACATGTGACATAAAATAGA